CCTGGCTATTTGCCTATCAAATATTTAGCTTCTCCCATTCAAATCATATACAAAGTATCGGAAATCCATATTGAAACATTCAGGGCTTAGCAGCTCGTTACACGATAATTTGATGTTAATATTTTAAGGCTGTTAGGTTTAGCGGGTAATTCAACTAAACGTTTAACAAGACCACCTGTCCTTCAAATGAACTATGCTTTATGTCATTTCAGATAATTTGTATTATGAGAAATCAATATTGAAAATTTAGAGCCAAGATGTTAGTTTCATGTTCATTTGGCATAATGCTATTAATTTACAATATCTTTAACAAACACGATGATTATACAAATGGTGCTTTATTTTGCATCAAGTATTTAATGTCAGGAATCGATATATTGAAGCATTAAGAGCTGAGAGATCAAAGTGTTTAAAGTTTAAAACCAATCCATCTGGTAGACAAATGAAGCATGTGGTTTACCTAATGATCCAGTAATGATATATATACCTGTATATGTTGATATGGATAAATGCTCTTAGAATAATTATGAAACAACTTCATCAGATTCCCTGAAATGATAGGAGGCTGCCAAAAAGTCAGTTTCCAGGCTATAATCTTAACCCTAGGCTAAATTACGAGTTTGCTGACTGAAAGATACACTTTATGAATAATCTAAAAGGATTGCTTTGCAGTCGCCTTGTTTTTCAGTCTTTTAACTAAGCTCTTTGCAATTATGGTGATTGTTTTGCAACTTTCATAATAATTTTTCACACTAAGTGATGACAATCATAAACCCATTAACTCAATCTATCTACTGTTGGTTAAACACTCTTAAAAGACCTTAGACCAAAATCATAAAGTCAACACAGTCGGCTATCTGATTTTAACAGTCTAAGCTCAGTAAGTTTAGCCAAAGAACTTTGGGAACATAGTGAAACAGGCCACAGGGCCACAAAAATTGTGAAAATGAAATGAGTGAGATGTGCCGCTGCACAAGCACAGAGCATGGACTTTGAAAGGAAAGCGCCAATATGGAGGCAGCGCAATGGCATCTTAAAACATGCAGTGGGTGCTACAAGACAAGCTTCATCTTATCCTGGCGTTAAAAAAAAATCATGAGTCATCATCATTTCATGGAGTTGCTGTTCTGTTAATGAAGGATATTAATTAACTGATTACAAGATGTTCTACATCTGTTCAAATGAACAAGAAGCTGTATTATCTCCTCTCTAGATAAAACAAAATCAATCTTATTCTCATTAGTACTGGTTTGCCATATGTATGTGTCTTAAAAACAAAGACAAGTCTAACATCGATTATTTAGGTCTGATATAACATTATGGATTTTGTTCAGCATTCTGTTGCAGATAGTGTAATACCAAGTTTCTCTCTGGCTGGCACATTTTTAGTTTCAGCCAAATTCAAAATAATTTTTAAATGTTCATGTCCTTTGGCCAGTTATTATAATTTTAAACCTTTAAAAAACTGTTACACTTAACCTTATTTCTTTTCCAACAAAAGAAACACAATATTCATCAAGCACATAGCTTCTTTCTCTTTTCTCTCAGTCAGCACTGCTTGAGTTCCTCAAAGATCCAATAATATTTTTAACAACAGTTACAGCTAATTGTAAATTCTCAGAATTTTTACCACATTTTAATATTTTCAAGTCTCATGATTTGAGACAAGGCTCTCAGTTCATAAGTGTATGAGGTTATTGTTGCTATAGCAGCTAGCTGCATGTATATTAAATTTTTAAGACTATATACGCATTTGTATGGTGAAAATTGTCCTCCAGAAATACTGATTGGAAGGAAAGTTAGAATGTATGTGCAACCTGTGTTTCAATTCAGCAAGTGAAAAAACACTCTGTCACATGTGATGATCTCCGACTTGAAGCATACTTGTTCCCCAAAGATCTGTTCCATATTTGCATAGATCTTTCATTGATCTTAACTGAAACAATGAAATAATCCAGAGCTCTACTCACATGCTTCTCTTGCAATGTTCTTTTCTTTTGAAGGAATAATATTAATAATAATAATTTAAAAAATAGCATTTTTTCATTTTTGACATCACATTCCTAAAGGCCTTCTCTTTTCTATATAACACCTATAGTCTATCAACATCTTCTTTAGCCCACGGCAGAAGCTCATGCATGCCCTGGTGTGCAGGTCAATGGCAGGTGTAACAGTTACAGAAACTAGTCTGAGTCTATACTGATGGCTCATATAGTTTCATCTGCCCAAAGGGACCCTTGTTAATTATACCAAATAAGCCATAATGCCTATAACATTCCTTCATACAAAAACACAAACATGTGTACTAGTATATGAGTCCCTGCATGCACTACACACACACGCACAAACACACAAACACAGATCATCACAAACAATATGAACTTCTTTTAGCTGTTGAGATCAGGTACTAGTACATCTAGAACTAGCAGCGTGACTCACCTTATAGAAATTATCTCTCAATATTCATAACTTCCATTTCAACTTGTACTGAAGATCAATCAGTCAGCTGGTTCAAAATCATATCAACATCACCCAATGCAGAACGTAACGCAACTCCCGTTTCTTATCCTCAGTATATTTTGCCTCACCATTCACATCCTTTTCATCAACCAATCAAACATCAGCTGAAAATTACCGACACTTGCGTATTGGTACCAAGGTCTATAAAGATCAATACCTTGACTCTATTCTAACAACTAGTCGCAATTCTTTCTCTTCCACTCAACTTCCCCTTAATTAAATGATCTCCTACACATGATCAACCCTCAATACAATTACTCCATGTTTGTTTTGAATTACCATCATCCAAATATTTTCCAGAAAATGGGACCTGGGACGAGGAAGAATAATGAAAGCAAAACAGCAACTTTCCTGGGTAATCACCGCCCCTTTTAATCTTCTGCAAATAAAATGTCTGATTGATTACAGGGATACGTCTAGACAGCGATCAACCATGAGATAGAGGGGCAGTAGATAATTCTGTTCTGCGGAGATTTTGATGCTCTTGAACAAAGCCGTGTTTGCACAGCTTACATATCTGAGATGTAATTTTACAGGGAGATAACTTTATATTCATTGAACATGTTAAGTGTTCAATTCTTTCAACAAAGACATTGTTTTGCAAGAGACCTGATTCCTCTTAAGCTGCTAAGTTTCTTCATTTAAAGAAAGAAGCAATTTAACTACACACCATGCTTTTGAAATCTCTTTGCATTACCTTTAATTAGCTGTGTAATATACATAATAATATAGTAACCTCTACAGATAGTCAGGAACAAATACTAGGGTGGGGAAATTAAGGATAACAGACAGAAGAGATGAACTACCCAAGCACATAATTGCACAACTTAAACGCTTCACAAATTTTGAAAAACTTTAAAATTTCAATAAGATAAATAATCACCTCTTTATTGACTCAACTCCCAGCTAAGTACTTAACAAACTGCATACATCTTTTATTGAGGACAAAATAATATTGTGAAAACTTTAAAAGGTGGTAAAAATCATGGTCCCAGGGTAGCCCCATGTAGCTGTTTATTAATATGTTATTTTAGCATGATGCAAGGAATGTAAAAAGTAGCATATTTGGCAACAATGCAACATATATTTAACACAGTCATCAACCAGTCTTTAGTCTGTGCCATAAATTTTTCAGCTTACTGGCCATTCAGACCACCACTTTCCTAAAATCTACTTTTCTGAACCAGGATTCAAGAGTTCAAATAAAAATTTCAGAAAGACTGGACATTTTCCTTATTGCATTAATATATGTAGCAAAAAGAACTTGATTACATTAAGATATAACAATGATGTGCTTAGGCCTTTTAAGATTTGCACCCACAGTAAGTCATACCCATAAGGAGGATGAGGAAGGACATAACAACAATAATGGTCTCTCATTTTGACAATCAGCCGCCAACAAACTGGTGAAAAAAATATGTGAATTATTAATCTGAATCTGCTAGCAGACAACAATAAAAACTAGAAACTGGTCACCCAAAATCAAAATCTAAAAATCAAACATTCAAAGCAACCAGAACAAGCACCTTAGCTGCCATCATGAGTCCAGTCAGTCACACTTATCGTCAGACAGGTCATTTGTCTTTGTCTCATTACAATCACAGGGTTAAGGACAAGATGAATGGACAGGGAAGTGGGAAGGCAGCTTGGTGGGGTCGGCAAACTGTGTCATCCAGAAAAAAAAAAAAAACATTTACACACAGAAAAATCAGTTTTACAACAACCCAAATAGCCATCCTTAGTAGAAAGTCTATAATAAATCTTTTTAAAGCTCATTTTCTTTTGCTGTAGAAATCATTAAGAGGAATGCTATGGATTAAGAATCAAATCAGTGTACCATTTCCTATCTCTCCAGTTTCACAGCCCATATCCAGTTGGGTATTAAGGGAAATGGATGTATTAATTAGTGAGGTTTTCCTCCACACACCCACATGCTCTGTGCTTCCTGCATCCTACGGAATTTCCACAACTGTTACATTAGGTTTACTGAGGACTTCTGAACTGTGGGCCCTGCTGAAACCATCATCCCATGTAGATTGATCCAACTCTGTTGGGACTCATGCTGAATGCAATCAGATTAAAATGCCTCCTCTTGTTTCCAATGTATAATCGCCAGCTCTTCTGTGTTCTACTAAGTGGTATGAACGCCTACTTAATCTCAGGTGTAAGTTTGTGTGCTCTTTCATGTGCTTGCGCGCGCGCATGTGTGTGTGTGTGTGTGTGTGTGTGTGTGTGTGTATGCCTGTGCCACTACACACCTCTTATGCATTATTTCAATATTCATCTTCTAATTTCCATATAATGAGCCAATGTGGGATAAGCAGGCAAATATAGAAACTTGAAAAGGGTGAAGGCATACAGATTTCACCATCACAAAATTTTACACAGAAACCATGTATTTTCAACCTGAATGAGATCTATGGTAGGAGAAAAAGCTGATCATTCAAGAATTATAGATGAATATTTCTCTTCAAAAATCTTTATTCTTTTTTATCTTTCTCCCATTTATAAAGCAGACTACGGCAATCTCTTAGGATCTTCTTCTTGTGTCTTACAGCCATCATGACTTTCATCAACATGACCTATATTTATAAATGATAACACAGGGTCACAACAGTTTAATCATAATTCTGATCTCATGTTATTTACACTACCTGAGGCATATCAACTTGTGTGCTTCTCAAGCCAAGACCCATGAAAAATTTCAGTAACTTAAAGATTCAAGTATTAGTTAATCATATGCAATTAAGTTAAATAACGTCCCCTTTTTGGAATAAGACAGGCCCCCCCTCCTCTCCCCTCAAAACACACATACACACACGTATACACACACACATACACAAACCTACACACGCACATATCCTGTATACCTCCTTCAAACACATGCAAGCACATACACTCAAACACACACACGCACACACACACACAGTCAAACATTACGACCATGTGTAGAAATCAAGCACTATATCACCCTTCCTAACATATATCACTGCCTACACACGGTGTGTCATATACACACACACAATGAAATATATATGACCGCACTGTGCAGATTGTGTACAAATGAAACATTGATATCATCACCACACTAATAAATATTATCAGTATTGTGTTGTTCAGACCACAAACTAAATGACCCTCTCTCTCTCTCCAACACACACACACACACACACACACACACACACACACACACACACACACACACACACACACACACACACACAGTACCAAACATTACAAATACTTCACCTCCATATAGATTAATATCAGTATTGTGTTCTTCAAACCTCATACAAGGAGACAAAACGTCTTACCTGCTCAGTGGCTGTTAACCTAAGTGTGTGATGCCAACTGAGACAAGACGAGAGACTTAACATACGTATACAAGCCTGCAGCCACATGTATGCTAACACTGTCAGCTGATCTTAGACTGGAAAATATTGAATATCTGCAACCTTCTTTAATTAGATGTGTCTCAAGTACTGTAGGTTAATCTAAATTTTTACCATTGTAGTGGTAATTTTAATCTTGATTTTTAAAAATCTGAACATGTTTATTTGTGAAATATTCTACTTAGTATAAAATTGTAGTTATGTGACAAAATATTAACTTGTGGGTTACGTAAAAAAAATTGGCTATAAAAACTTTAAAATCTAATCTTTACATTTCACATTATTATTTTTATTATCAATTTTATTTACTTATATATTTATTTAACAAATAAGTCACTGTGCTAGCTGAACACACACAAACAGTGTCTTCCCTTGTTAAAATACAGTGACTTGATATGCCATTGAATTTAACCAACACAGGACTCTCTGTTTGCATAATAAATTATGATTTTAATATGACCGAATTTCCATAATGAAAAAGAAACATATTAGAAGGCTATTTTTTATGGGGAGAGGAGAGGACAAAGTTATTCCCTCTTTCTTTTATCAGACAAATATAAGAGTAGCTCTCTTTTAATATTTGCAGTTTGCATGTTCTGATGTGAATGAGAATTAAAATTAATAATTTACAAGAAAGAAAGAAAACATCACCCTGATTTTCATAGGTAAACAGAAAACAAGCTCTGTTATCAACTTGCCTTTGGCAGTCAGTGAGCCTCAGGGCAACAACCCCAACATACCCATTAACCCCACAGGTGTGTATTCCCATTTTCTTACCTGTTCTAAATCTCTTTGTTGCCACCTGAGTCTTAAAAGACTGCAATAAATATCCAGTTTACAGTCCGGCCCACTCAAGCCTGTAATCTGTGCAGCCCATCGCAAGTATTGTCAACTATGGCCGAGCTAAATGAACAAAGGAAAGGGGGGAGGGGAGAGGACCACAGATCCAATAATTCTAATTTTTTTTTCACCATGCCAGTTCAATAAATCAATCAAACAGACAATTTCTATTCATAAAATGAGTTACAGGCCAAACAGTAAAATGGGGCTTAATATAGTATGTGTTTTGTTCTTGTATGAATTTATAAACCGCTAAAGTCGAGACAAAGAAGAAGGAGAACCCCCAGGCGACCAACTTTTGATAACAATGTATGTCATATCAGTAAAAGTATACAATCATTTGATGTATCCAATAGACAAGCATAAATGGATTTAACTGCAAAGCTGGCTTAAATTGGTGTCATTGAGGGTCGAGGAGAATCCTATTACAAATTCAATAGAAAAACAAAATGTCGAGAAACATGCCTATTGTANCCACCGTCAGCAAGTTGGCAAAAAGAGCGCAATAGGCCAGCCATTTGAGGTGCTTGATGAATACGACTAGTACCAATAAAACGCATACAAACAGCTCGTAAATTCGTAATGAAAAACTTGGGTTGATATACACGTCAACCACCTGTAAAATAACGAAATACATACGTTTAAAAGGGTATAGCGTACGGAGCAATTCAAATGTCGGTGATTAGTTGGAGCAGAGAAGAGGTGAACTGGAAACAGTTTTGGCATTCACAGTTTTGACATAATTATGATAAAGCAGGGTAATCTTAGTGCAAAATCGTATTGTCCCTCTTCACCCCCAATTGCCGTTGTGACTTTACATGATAAGGTTGTGTTATTAGTGCAAAATTTTGTTGTCCTTATTTATCCTCGATTCCTATTGTTGCTCTCCCAAAGATTTTTGAAAAAGAAATTTGTCTCAAACTGTGATCCTAAATGCCAAAGATTCAGTCCTTGAGAAGGCAGTGGCACATGTAATAAAACACTGTTAAAATGCTGACTCTGTCGGTCATTTCAATGAGCCAAAACTATGAAGGATAAATCAGATACATATTTCAGATCTATCATTCTATATTTGTTTAGAATGATTGAATGATGAAAAGTGTCCTTTTAATTTCTAAGTGAATTCCAAAAACAGTTTCAAAATAAAATGTATGTATAAAAGTTTTTTCCTTTCAAATGTACGTTATCGGTTTATCTCACCTGCTTAATATTGGCTGCAATGAAAACTATATACACACAACAGAAGCCTAACTGCGTTACGATGATGAATAAGTTTACAGCGAATCTGAAATATGAAAATATAATCTAGGCATAGACATTTCTATATGCACCTGACACGTGTGGTTAATTCATTTTCTTTTAAATCTGAAAACAACTTTTTACATGTTCTTATATATTTTGGATAGAAATGCAGTTAATTGGTATATTATGTGACAAAAACTTAATCGTTTCAGACCTTGCAGCTTTGGAAAACTTCTGGAAAATTTTCGGCCCGTCTTCAAAAGCCAGCTCAATCACATCATTATATTCAAGGTGACGGCGGTGTGTTCTGAATAAAATATGAGGCCCTTTTCAACAAAATAATATTTCATTTTACAAAATAAGTTTGGTAAGACAGTTGGTATTACTAAATGACTCCTTTTTGTAAAATGATTATATTGAAAACGTTCGCAGGAATAAATAATTTTAACAAATCCAAAGAAAATATGCCTTTTTGACTCGGCCTTCAACCACCAGAGTCGCAGCTATCGCATAACGTATCATTGGATTTTCCCTCTGATAACAGAGGCTTCTCTACTAGCATACAAAACTGACGTATGCCATACAATAATTTTGTAACAGACTACTAATACGCCCTGAGTGTAAGAAAGTACATTGGACTTACGTACCTGTCACCAAACTCGCGAGCACAGATCAACAGCAGATGCATGCAGTGGACAGAGACGATGCCAAGTACGATCATGCCAACCATTCCTACCTTGAAATATGCGCAGAGACAAATATCAGGAGAAAATTTGACAAATGAGCATTATTTTTCAATGGAGCTGTCGATTTATACATGTACAAAAGCCCGTGATGAAAAAAGGAGATAATTCATCCAGGCCCAGTTGGGCAACATATGGACAAATTTACCAAGATATTCAACATCACCAGCAAAGAAATATACAGTATATTATAAGACGTGCTGCACTTGCGTCTGTTAATAATTTATATTGGAGTTGAAAATGACTTCAATTTTTATATACTACATGTATAAATCGTAATTAGGAATCGTCGTCTTACTAGCAATCCGGCATGTTTGATAGCAAGTGGTATGGATAGGATTCCGGTGCCAATGTTGCCTTTCAGTAAATTCATCAGGCTTGCCATATTACTAAATGTTGAAAAACATGCAATAGTAAAATAATGTATACGATTAGAATTAATAAAGTATAGGGAAGAAATCAGTTTCTGCAGACCCGTTGGAAAGAAGGGAGCACACATTTAGTGAAAGACTTGTCAATAAGCAACATGTGAGTCAAACTTTCAATAAATCCGGATCCCAACCGCACCTCATTTCATCAGAAAAAAAAATCGTCGACTCGCATCTATCTCAACATATTCTGCATTTTTTTGAGAACAATATAAGACCACAAATTCTACACAATTTATGAAAAAATAGCGATACGTTCCCATCTCACCCATTCAACTGTTCCACGTTAAAAGAACCGCTTATCAGAGCACTACGAATGCTTTCCTCGATGTCATCTTCCTCAAATTCCTTTTCATCAGTGACAGATATATCAGCAATGACATCTGCGCCAGGGTGGTATATGCCTGGGCCATAGGCAAGTGATTTTGGTAAAGTTTCATCGGTATCGTAAGAATTTTGAGTCCCCCGCGGTGAATCTCCGCTATCATCTCTTTGCAAAGCGTGCTTTAGCATGGTTCAAACTGGCAGTGATTGCCCGCAAACCGTCTGGATCATTTAGGGTACAGAATTTTAATCTAAATTTCAGAGCTTCATCGAGCGCCCAGTTAACTATACTACTAAATATGCTATGGATCTGAAACCGATATTGAACGTAACAGGTGTTGTAGTGAGATACGGTATAAATATATTTGATTACATGGCTGATACAGTGTATTATCTGATACCGTAGCTCATTCTATACTGGCCAATGTAGTTCGGTGCTTTACTGTAACATTGTTGGCGCAATAAATATTCGGAATCGGATCAAATGGATCAGAACTCGGATCATCGGTAATGATACGGATTGTGTACTTTAAACATACAGCAAGCGAAAAGTTTAAAATGAACAGGAAATCTTTTAGATCAGATCTACCCCTTGTCTTTTAAACAAAGGGGACTTTCTTACTCCAGAATTGACCGACAAGAAAAAAAAAATAGAAAATATTCATTACTTTATTTTTATATTACAGTCACTTTTTATATACACTTATCAATACAATTTATAAAACGTCAACAATAAATGTGCAATATGTATATAATTAGATTAAAACTATCAGAGGTTCACATTTTAGTACAAAGCCAATGTTCGATATGCATGTCTGAAACGCAATAACATATCCAAGCACCCCGAGCTTCTATAAGTTTCAAATATTTAATATATCAAAAAAGGAGTCGCAATATGCTAAAATCCTTTTCAAGGGCAAAATAGATGTGGGGTGGGGTGGACCACTATTTGTTATAAAATGGTCACCTCTTGCAATGTTTCCAAAGGCAACAGTGACGGGTAGCTCCACAAATTGTAAAACTCGGGCATATTTAGGCTTTGCTAAACATCTACTTGTGCGCAAACTACACTATTAAAAACATTCATTACAGTCTTCAAATGCAAATTCGATATTCAAGTCAATGTAAAGTTTAAAGTTTAAGTAAATGTCCATTGTACCACCAAATATTCTTTAGGGGGTCCGATACGTTATAAAGGCCTACATTTTAAGGCTAACATTTTAAGATATGTTATAAATACCTTACATATGTAATATATCTATGTTATGTAATTGTACTATGTTATGTAATTTTGAAAACAGTAGATAATCTGTGAGAGTGACACATAAGTTCCTGTTGCAAATCCTAAAAGTCCCAGGGCACAAATCAAAATGTTCTTGAATAAATGCCATTTACACACACCCAGTCTGTCAGGCCAGAATGTTAGAGTGTGCATGATTGGAGGAAATATCAAGGCCAAAGCACTGCTACTCAAAGCACCAACCAATGAGATGAAGTGACGAAATGGGTGAGAACTACAATCCTGTGCCAGCTTGTTGTTTGGCATCCTTTTGTTTAGGAGATATGCAACTGTTATCATTATTCCCCCTTTTTACTGATAAAATCAGAAGCAAGGTTTTCAAACAAATTTTCTGGCACTGGATTGTAATACTTATTGTTGGGATTAACTGTTGCCAGCCGTTCAGGTAAGGACCGTGAGGTAGATGTTTGAAATCGATATTACCGTTTTCACCCCAAAAGCACTAGTGTTAGCTGGAAATAGCTAATTCACCCTGATGTATTATTAATGTGACAGCATTATCTCATAACATGACAATGCTAATAGCCACATTATCTTAGGGGAAAAGGAAATAAATCATAGTGTATCGATCCCCCTTTAGGTTGCTTTCATCTCCAAACTCAGTCAATATTATAATAAATTTGTTAAAGCATTGCTAAAATACTGTTATTTTCTATCATCGTTCTATGAACTTCGTCCATTTTTTTGTGAACTCAATGGTCCCTTTACATGGAATTTAACAACTATCAGGGGTGGATCCAGAGATACTTTCTGACAGTCTTCCAAATTATCTTTGTTGATCCATCCTTCATTTTTGACCGTCTTCCGACAGAAAATATTAGATGCCCTACAATGTAAACTTGAAAATCTGACCGTCTTCCGGAAGACCCAGAAGACGGCCTTAATTTGCCCCTGACTAAAGTAACTACCAACATCCTCATTTGCTTAATGAGTCTTATGTATTTAATTTAACAAATACTAGGACACAGCAGTAGGTATACCATTAAATTAAGGCTTCGTTCACATGCAATGTCTATTTTCTAAATTCTATTTTCTATTCGCGCTATCTTATGATCACGGTCTGTGCACTGAATATCCCGCGGCGTAATTACTGGCAGCGCGAGCCAGTTACTTATAGTAACTTATAGTAACTGGCTCGCGCTGCCAGTAATTACGCCGCGGGATATTCAGTGCACAGACCGTGATCATAAGACATACCGAAAATAGAAAATAGAATTTAGAAAATAGACATTGCATGTGAACGAAGCCTAAATGTACAGAACTTCATAAACCCCTGACTCGATTGCAGGAATTTAAAACAATTAGAAAAAAAATAGTAAAAGGGATTTGTTTGATGGCTCAAAAAAGAAAAGATGGCACACAAAAATCTTTGAAACCTCATTTTTAAGAACCTTCACAGACTGGAGCTGATGGATTTTGAAAACAGTAGATAATCTGTGAGAGTGACACATAAGTTCCTGTTGCAAATCCTAAAAGTCCCAAGGCACAAATCAAAATGTTCTTGAATAAATGCCATTTACACACACCCAGTCTGTCAGGCCAGAATGTAAGAGTGTGCATGATTGGAGGAAATATCAAGGCCAAAGCACTGCTACTCAAAGCACCAACCAATGAGATGAAGAGACCTAAATGTGGTATCAATTCTGCCATGGCCACTGAAATGGAAAAATATGTAATGAACTTATAATCTAAATGACTTAAATCAGCCACCACCCATTTTTCTTTAGTTATAAATCATCTATCCTCTTAGGGTGCATTCCCAGAGATTTAGATCGACCTAACTCCCTGGGGGTTCATGCTAAATTGCAGTCAGCCTAGCGCACCATAGTTCATTACCCCCTTACAGCTTTTAGTAGCGGGACAGATGCTTAAGCCGGCTAAGCTGACAGTAATCTAGTGAGACTCCTCACAGGGATAGATCGATCTAAAATCTATGGGAATGGGGTCTTAGAGATTCTGAAGCAAAGACAAGCTGTTCTAATTTTCAACCCTAAAATTATAAATCTGTAGTGATATCAAGCTCCAGCAGCTATAACTTGAAAGAAGAAGGGCAATTGTCTGTGAAATTTAAACTAAAATACCAAGATTACATGCAGGAGATCCTTCTACACCATTTTATACAGTGGTCTTTAAGTAGTGGATTTATACTTACATGTAAATATCACCAAGAATATCCTAAACATGCCTTCTCCATATTTCTGTATAAATGAGAACCTCTGTGTATGCTTCTTGATAAGTGGCCACACAATCAGGATGGGGACATAGAACTGTAGGCCATAGGTTATGATCAGAGCCAGAGAAAACATCAGCTTCACTGATAAATACAACCTAAAATGGAATGAATATCAAATTCAATTAAGGTAAGGTTAAGCATGTAATCATATTTAATCTGAATTGAAATGTTATACAATACAGAGGAAAGCTGAAAACTATTGCAGGAATTTTAAGGATGAAATAACATTTGTGAAAAAGAACTCTTAAAACAAAAAAAACAAGGGATTGGATAAAAAGAAGTGATCAGCACAATATTCTCTGTTTGGTTGGCACAGGTGTTGGTAGACATGAGATAGACTTTATATACATGTATCTCATTTTTATGGAAGAATAATAGTAGAGACACCTCACCCTTACTTTAACCTAGAACCTTTAAATGAGTGATCACATTGTAGGCAATTTCACCTATCAGGCTATATTTCAAGAGAATGATACAAAAAACCCATTTTTAACTAAAACAGCACCATTCTGAACAAGGAGCCATAATATCTTTGGTATCAAAGCAACAAGAGACTATTTTGTCATTAACCTAAAACATACCAGTTATCATTGGGAATGTTCAAGGTGATGCTGCCTTGAGCATCATCCCCAAAACAAAGGTAGCCATAAAAGCCAATGGCCGTGTACAGGGCCACCACTATGACCATTCCTAGGTTCAGCACACCAGCCCAGCCAGAGAAGGCATCTGGGGTCCTCATCTTGTTCTCAATAGGTAAAACCTGTTAATATATAGGTTATTTGTAAATCTAGTAATAAGAGGGTTATCATTTCAAGTATTGATGTACTGATGTTTAATAAGTCAAAAGTAGAATTTTTCAAAAAAAAAAAAAAAAAAAAAAAAAAAAATTAACAGGGTCTAAAATGCTTTATTTTGGTAATTTGGCAGGTAGAGGACAAAATTAAAAGACATCCGTCAATTTCAACTATTACTAATAACTTTAAATTGGTGAAAATTGATTAATATGCACAATGGGATAAGCTGAACAGTGATTAAAGAAAATAAATAACTAAATTCAATATCAAATCATACCAGGCTTATTCCCTCAAATGCGTATATAGCAGTTCCAAAAAACAGAGGCAGGGATGCAAAGTCAGCAAACAAGGGAAAAGCAGTAACTGGTTGTAGGTTCCGCAATGTGTACTGAAGCACTATGATGAGTCCTACTGCTGTCAGAAGATTGGCCAGCATGGCAAAGTAGGACAACCATTTAAGGTGCTTTACAAAAACAAATAGCACCAGTACAATAAAGACAAACACTTCATAGACTCTCAGTGGAAGATCTCCAGTAACGTAAACATCTACAACCTGAAAAGAAATTATTAATAATTAAGAATATAAAAGGGTACTAAATCAAAACTTTAAAAAAAAATTGCCCCTTTGAGTTCATTTTTAAAAATGATAAATTCTCTATCTTAACAGCAGTTCAGAAAAAAAAGAAAATAAAGTTATTTTTAGTCTCTTGCAGAAAACAGAACAATTAAATGATACCCACTGTCCTCAATAATGCACACAAAATTCTTATGAAACAGATATTATTTTATTATATTAACATCTTTTACAAATGCATGTAAAATGCACTCAGACAGCCTATATACCTGCTTTATGTTGGCAGCAATGAAGACTATATATACGCAACAGAACCCCAACTGTGTGATGTTCAAGAATACATTTACTGCAATTCTGAAACGAAAGTGTCAGTATGTACATCAAATGTGAATCCTGTCATGTAGTGTTTGATTTTAAAAATTAATACTCTATCATGTTTTCAAATTCAAGCAATATTACTTTTTTTGCAACATTATAAAAAAATCCACAAACATGTGAAATATAACCTGCATGAAAATATGTTTAGGATATATATACGATTATAGATTTTAGCTGTATTGTGTAATATTTAAAGAATATAATCCTTAAAAACATACATATAAAAATATTTTAATATTTAAAAATACAAAAGCATACCTTGAAGCTTTAGAAAACCGCTGTAATGATCTTGGTCCCTTCTCAAATGACAGTTCCACCACCTCTCCATAGCTGAGCCTGTGTTTGTTGTACCTTAAAATGAAGAAATCACAAATTATTACTTGAGCACTAGACTTCGGCAATCTAACACACATGACAATATTACATTTAAATATATAATGCTGATAGGTCCATTTAGACTGGGTTCCCATGCCTAGATCGATCCAACTGGATTGGTCTAACTCCCTGGGGAGTTTTTTAAAAATTCTATCAACTAACCGGCTTAAATGTCTGTCACGCCTACCGAATCAGTTAGGGGGAAAAGATAATTAGCCCCTAACAGCTTTACTAAATGTGGCAGGCATTTAAGCCGGTTAGGTTGATAGCAATTCATTGAGACTCCCCAGGGAGATAGATCAATCTAAATGTCTGTGGGAATGGTCCCTTAGACTATGTCTTTCATGTTATAAGCTTTGCCATGGACACAACTGCAATGTTTAAGTCCTTTATCCCAAGAGAAAAAAAATCTGGAAAATGCTTTTCTTTCTTTTTTGGGAAAGACTACCAAATACTCTAAAAAATGAAGTTTACAGTCAGTTTGACTTAAGGTCTAGAACCCGGAATAGTAATATCTTTTTTTTTTCAATAAGCAGGGTTCATTTCAGAATATGTATCTGTGAGTAATCAAAAAAAAAAATCTGAAGGAAATAAAAAAGCTTGATTACACAAATTAATGTAAAATAAATAAATAAGCGATGTTTAAAATCTTTGAGTAATAACCATACCTGTGACCAAAGTCATGAGCACACATGACCAGTTGGTGCATGCAGTGGACAGCAATGGCACCCAGGATTAGTACACCCAGTGTGCCAACCTTATAACATAAAGTACAGCTAAGCTTTTTAAATTTTAAAGATACAGAGTGAGCCAAAGCCCTTTAAATAGTAAACTATTTACTTTTCTTGGACATTTCAAAGCTTTTATCTTAATTACCAAGATATGTCATAATCATAGAATTACAACCAATAAACCTGCTTCTGAGTTTAGAAACTATTCCCTGATTAAAGAAAAACAGTTGTGAATTTCAATCTTGACAGTAGCTATCTGAAATGTAAACTTACCAGCAGTCCAGCATTCTTGACAGCAAGAGGCATGGCCAGTATTCCTGTCCCTATGTTACCCTTCAGTAAGTTCATTAAGCTGGACATGTTGCTGTAAAATAAAGGGTAAAAGCAATTAAGTTAGAAATTGTTACATTAATGGAATCGAAGCTAGATATCTTGCAGAAAATTTCTATTTGTGTCAAATTCGATAAAGATCTGATTACAAATCAAAATAAGCACATAAAGACAATTGTAACCTTGGTATGAGCCAAAGTAAATTATCTGAAATATAAGGAGAAAAATTCCATTTTCTCACCTAGGCATAGGACAGGTAGATGAACTGTCCTCCTAGGTTACAAAAATATACAGTGAAATTAATTTGAACAATTGAATGAAATAAGTTATAAAAATTCTTTACCTGTTTAACAGGCCCTCATCCAAACTGCCACTGCTCAATGTACTTAGTAGTCGCTCTCTCTGAATTTCATCCTTATCTTCTATATCTTGTTCCTCTGAGTGCTTGCTGCCATTAATAGAAGCCCCGCCCATACTTGGGTCATCAGGGTCATTGCCATGGGAACCATACATCATCCCTGGGGCATTGCTGTAAGATCCTGGGATTGTATGCAAAGAGCTCTCCAGTGGTTGGGTGCTCAAAAGGGGATCTGAAGTCTTACTTGCCATATTTTAGGCTGAAACTATAAATGTTTGAACATTCAATGTACTTGTCCAATTAAAATTCTGCAGCAAGTCGATATATTCTTTACATTTCTGATTAAAAATATAAATTCTGCAAACTTAAAAATAATACTGTGTGAAAGACAGACTCCAATTCTAACATCAACACACAGACCCTCATCATATTTTAAACTGAAAGAAATGAGTTAAACATTCAGTATTCCATCTGAAATGAAAGGACACACCATAATGTCACCTTCAAAGCTCTATCCAGTATAACAATACTAGGACTCAAAATTAATCCATAGCTCTTTCCAAACATTAGCCTGTTGCCTGGATCCCATGACAACAGTTTGGCAAATGTGCAGCTTTATATTTTTTATATCTAATTGATGAGATTTGGCCCTGGCTAATGTATACAGCATGGAAATATATTATCTTGCCCACTAAAACAAATGATGAGGCAATTGCTTCTATTCACTTGGTTAATCATTAATCTATCAAATGCATTTGCTGAATTGATCTCTTTTTTCTTTCTTTTCTTTTCTTTTTCAATAATAAAAATATTATTCAAAAGAAGAAAAAGAAAACAAGAAGCAAAAAGAAGAAGAAGAATGAAATTAAACAAAAATAAAAATTTGATTTATTGTTACATTCAATGGCAAAAAATAATACTTGTTCACATAAGCTTTATCACAAAATCTTTACAAATAGTGTTGACTTGAGAATCATATTTCCTGTACACCAGTTATTAAGACCCAGTCAAGCCAGCGGGTGAACATGCCTGTTCTACGTACTGTTATTCAAAGATGACCCCACTATACAAGGAGCTTTGAAAAAAAGGATGCCATTATTAATTTACTTGTTATTTGTATGGCCTGCAGGTTCCTATTATGACCATGAACTGCAATGCCACTTTCCCCTTTTGATGGCCTTTATTTAAAACATGTGATCATCATCAAAGTGTTTTTTAAATAATAAGTTAGTTCAAGCAGAAAAAATGTGACAGGGCAATTTAACCATGTGACACATTTCTCATTATTCACAAAAAATCAGCAAAGCCTTTCAGGAGTTACTGTGTCAACAAATGAACAAAATTGGACAGAATAAGAACCAAATTAAGATATCAATGGGGGGGGGGGGGATCTGGCAAAGTAACCTTGTGTCCCTCTTTAGCTGATCCAACCTGATAAATGACAGAGAATTCAGATCATCAAATTTTGTACCTTCTCTGGCCAAATGGGTGGTTCTTTTGAACTATTCAAACCCTTACCTATACATGGGCCTTAGATTAAATACTACAGACTATATTCAACATTTA